GCAGCGGACAAGATTGTGCATGTAGATATTACTGTTCTATGAAAAGCATTTTCAAGTGGTTCATCAATTATCATTCTCTTGCCAATAAAGTGTAATTAGGAGCGATGACGTTTTCCCTGCTGGGTTTGGTTTCGATCCATATTGGATCAGAATATTTGTAAATCACAAACATTAAACATCCTTTAAATAAAATCTACTCTTGATTTTGAGCTTAAGGCATTGTGTGACATATTTCTACTGTAATATGATTCAAGCTCTGTCACTGCTTACGACACTGAAACTGTGCAGCTCCAGAGAAATCTACAAGGGGGGGTTGACCGTTACTCTGAGAAAGTAATTAGCAGTGACTAGATGTAAAATATTTGAAGTCAATTTATAGACAATTAAAAAAGAATGGATCATTTAATTATTATTAAAAACTAAAATGAAAGTGTTTGCCTACGTTCCAAATAATGATGGATCAATAAATAACACAAACTGTTGGAAGTAGAAACTCTCAGACCTCTGCTTCACTTTCACACATTTCACAACAGATCAAAAAAAAAATCCTGTCGAACTGGGTCTGACTCCTCACAAAGACATCGACCTTACGCATGAATCTGAACATCTGGAACGTACGCTCAAGGAGGGGTGTACCATTTTGTGCTGTTGTTTTGTAATACACTGCTCCAGGGCCTTGGTTACAAATGCCAGGGGTGGGGCAAAGGTTTATAAAGCTGTGAACGGAAAACTCAAGGGACACATACACTTAACCACTGCTCCACAGACACTAGCAAATGGAAGGTGAGAGTTTTTTTTCTTCTTTACAATTTTCTCGTTTTATTATCCAACTTTTTTATTCACTCTAATCATCTGTGATGGACAGACATTTTAAGTTGTGTGCCATTTGAGGTAAATGCATATTTCTGGAACAAATTCACCGATCATCTTTTTTGATTTGCAGACATTTTCATTAAAAATGTTGACATGGAACAATCTGAAAACCTGGAGAGACACAGGACAGATGGCTTCAGCAGCGCCAAGTCCCTGGTGGTGCGAAGAGGAGCCCCGTTCAGAATCAGTCTGCAGCTGGAGGGCCGACCCTTCAACCCCAAGACTGACTCTCTGAGGGTCAAAATCATGCTGGGTAGGCTAGATTTAAATTCAATTCAGATTGGATTATGGCTCTGTAGGTGTCTGAGCTCATAAAATCCCTTTGCTCAACCGTCTTCCTCTCTTTTTTCCCTCAGGCCGCCTATATGTGATAATGCCGATCACTTTCTGCAGGAGGGTTTCCTCCTCCCGCTGGGGAGCTTACATCGACCCAGAGAACCTGAACCTCCAGAGTCCCTCCATCTTCATCTCCTCTCCAGCCTCGGCCTCAGTTGGACACTACGGATTCCAGCTGTGTGTGTTCTCTCAGGGCAGCCAACAGGCGCGCACCTATGGCAAATTCATCCTGCTCTGCAATCCCTGGTGCCCCAGTAAGTAAAGACATGAAAATGTATTCTGAATGGGTAGTTGTTGAAGTACCCTAACCCTTGACCCCTAACCCTTACCCTATGGATTTTAAACTAATGATGGGGGTGTAGTAAAGACTCATTAGTGCAGCAGCATCTATCTTACAAAACCAGAAATGCTGTGATCGATTTAGTTTTTGCAGCTGAATGAATTCATTCCTTCAACACATTGAATTATGTATTAATTTTGTTTGTGGGAGTCACACCATGTTTAGTGCTTCATCCCAGGAAAAGAATAAAAAATATGAAAGCACGACGATGAGCTGAACATCTTGTTTATTTCCTGCAGAAGACTCAGTGCACATTCCCTTTGAGGACCAGAAAGAGGAATATGTCCAGAATGACTCTGGGCTGCTGTTTATGGGGACAACTATGAACATTGTGTCGAGACCGTGGTCATTTGATCAGGTATGAAATCATCATCTTTTGAACAGTTTTTATTTTCTTAACCCCTAAGATTCTATTAGGAAGATAATCCAGCTCTGTATTAATGAATTACAAATGATTCATTATTGAGGGATTTAAATTATAGATATTTTAGTAGAAATAAATGAAATCACAAATCTTGACTTTGTGGTTTTTATTCCTCTAAATAATAATGTCTTGTAAGCCTGTTTCCAGCAAGGGACATAATGTGCATGACACAATAATTCTTTGAGTATGTCAAATGTCTTTAAAGTTAATTTAATCCAATCATTTCTGTCTTCCTGCCTGTAAAGTACGAGCCTGGTGTTCTGGAGACATGTCTGAATCTGCTGCAAGTCAGTCCCCAGCACCAGAAAAGCAGGAGACTGGACTATCTGAACAGAAAGAACCCTGTCTACATCAGCCGGGTGGTGTCTGCCATGGTGAGTGAAACACACCTGAACTTATAAACCTCAGGATAGAAAAAAACCTCCTGCTCTGCTTGATCAGCGTTTGTATTTACTTTGCGTGACAACATGAGAAATCTCTGCTGGTCATTAAAACAAGTGATGACCTGAGCACAGTGTTCTGCAAGTTTTGATAAGACGAACACACCTCCAGCAAAATTCTAGAAAATTAGATGTCCCATTCAGAGATGTTGTAATTACAGCAACAATCAGTCAGAGCTGTGATTAAACATTTCAATCTGAACAATGTCAGAGCATGTGAGGCGCCCAGACTTGCTTCGTGACCTTTGGGAGCTGAAATGCACGGACAGGAAATAACATGTTTCTTCTCTATCGATGTTCAGATCAACTCTGAAGACGACCGCGGTGTTCTGAAAGGAAACTGGTCCGGTGACTTCAAAGATGGAGCGAACCCCTCCATGTGGACGGGGAGCGGAGACATCCTGAGTCAGTGGGCCCAGTCCGGTTACAGCCCGGTCAAGTACGGACAGTGTTGGGTGTTTGCAGCCGTCATGTGCACAGGTAATTACATCATCACGAAATTACAAGGCTTGAAATCAAGTCAAGTGTTGTCGTCTTGCTGGTTCATGTTTTTCCATTGTGCATTGTCAGACACCGTCATCAGTATGTAAACGTCTGTGTCCGTGTTCTGATTACGTCTTTCAGTCATGAGAGTTCTTGGCATTCCTTGTCGCGTCGTCACAAACTTCAACTCGGCTCACGACACCAACGACAACCTGGTGATCGAGGAGTACTACAGCGAGAAGGGGGAGAAGCTGAAACACAGCAAAGACAGCATATGGTCCGTAAAAATAATAATGTAAAAATGGAATAAAAACAATAATAACAATAGTAAGTCATGCTCAGTGAAATCCTCTTTTTTTCTTTATTGACAGGAACTTCCACGTCTGGGTGGAGTGCTGGATGACTCGTCGGGACATTGGAGGTGAAATGGACGGTTGGCAGGTTCTGGACCCGACCCCTCAGCAAAGGAGTGGAGGTGTGTGAGAAACATTCTTGATCGTGTTGCATGAAACCACCGCTGACCTCCTCATAAACATTGCCTCAACCTTCTTGTTTTCCCCGTTTCTCCCTTCGCCCCAGGAGTGTTCTGCTGCGGCCCGTCTCCAGTCAAAGCAATCAAGGATCGGCGTATGGACCTGCTTTACGACATCCCCTTCGTCTACGCTGAGGTGAACGCCGACGTCCACACGGTCATAATGAGCAAGGGCCGGGTGCTGAGCCGCAACAAAGACACAGAGAGAGTGGGATCCCTCATCTGCACCAAAGCTGTTGGGTTCCCCAGACTCCAGAAAATCACAGGAGACTACAAATACATCAAAAGTATGATCCAGACACTTGTGACCTCATCTTCACTCTCAGCAATAATTTCCACTCTGCTCACTTTATCTGTTTATTTTTACGAAACAGGCCCGACTTCTACACTCACATCCAGAAGCTCTGCGATGTCAGACGACTCAACGTTGAGGAGAGGTACGTTGACATTTTCAATTCGTTTATACGTCAGAGTTAGAAGTTGTTAAAACACTCGTCCGCTCACCTTCTGGATTTCTTCACATTTATTCCACAGGCTCGTCCAAAGGAGTGTTCGTCTTCCTGAACCTGGACAAAGCTCCGGTTGCCGGAGAGCCGATCGGCTTCACCGTGAAAGTCATAAACAAACAGAAAGTTGCCAAGACTATGAAGTTGCATCTCAACGCTCAGGCCAAAGAATACAACCACAGCCCCTCGGACACCTTCTGGGAAATGCAGGGCATCATGACGCTGGCACCCATGGAAGGTAGATTTACTATTCACTCATCTATAAACTCAGATGATCAATTCTGAAGCATTATTTATTATAAAATTGATTGGACTGGTGCAGTGCCTGTTCTAAACCTGCCCGTTTGGAATGGGCTGTTGTCTTGTCCTGTGTTAATGCTCCGGAGCTACTGCAGAATTATTCCTTGTCATGAGTGAATCCTCCTCAAGCAGTTTTACTACACAATCTCACTTTTTTATTGTTATGTTCTGGACGTTGAGTGCAGAGCTTTTTTATAAACAGTGAAGTTAGAAAACCTTGCGTTCATCCTACCAGGTTTATCTGCAGAAAGGAGACATGTTCAAACTCTGCACTCACTTTCTTGGGCGTTCTTTTGCTTAGACATGCTGAGTATGAAGTTGATAATATGAACAGTTTGCAAGTTAGAGTTCCACACACACTCATCCTCTCATCTTTCTTTGCAGTCAAGACGCTGACGCAGCAGATCCTCCCGGCCCAGTACGAGGACGTAGTGGGGGACAACCTCATCAACCTGGCAGTGGTCCTGGAGGACAAGGACAGTCACGAGCGGGTTCTGGCCTCAGAGGAGTTCAACATCGCCAGCCCACAACTCAACATACAGGTACTTTGAGGAGATTATGATTCTGCTCACCAGTAATTAAGATGTTAAAATACACTTCTGTTCAGGGATTATTGGACAGTTAATTTCTCTGCATGCAACACAGCAAATAATTGATCAAATACACATGATTTATGATTTATATAATGAATTTAATGAAAGATAACGTTCATTCAAAATGCATCAAGAACATGTACTTTACTTATGTGATGGTGCAGCAGCAAACTGGAAAGATGTTGGTCTAAGAAACTCATTTAAAGTGATTTAAGGGGTAATTGAAGAGAATACTCAAGCTCCACTGAAACATTTGTGTCCCTCAGATCACAGATGAAGACTCCGTTGTGCCGAACAAGGAGCAGACTGCTGTGGTGACCTTCACTAACCCGTTTTCTCACATGGTGAGCGGAGTACTCACCGTCGCGGGGGCTGGACTCATCCAGGGCAAGATTCATTTCAGGTAAGAATGATGCAAACTCGTTTGTGTGTGTTGAATGTGTTCTATTGTAGAGCTACATCACAAGTGGCTCCAAAACAATGAATAAGTCAAATAAAGGAGTGTCACAGTACAGAACATTATTGTACAAGGTGTCCTTGTTGATGGAATGTGGGCGTGTTGTGTTTCACTGCTTGTGTTCTTGTTTGCTGTTCGTGAAGGCATGGCTAAAAGGGTTCTCACTGCTGTATGCAAATCCAGACCTATAATTATTTGCAGGCACTGACCTGGTAATTACGGCTGTTTGCTGAGCTATGAAAATATAATCTGACAGTTAGCTTCAGTTTGTGTGTGTGAAGTTAAATGATGTGAAAATGAACTTGGCTGTCACTGTTTAAACTGGTTGAATGAAGTCAAGTCCAACCAGGTGAAAACAAATCAGAGAACGTAGGAGCCAGTGTGGGCAGTTCAAATTACTGAAACAGTAAATGTTTCACCTTCTGTTTCTCCCTACAGAATGCTGCCGCTGCGTCCAAGAGGGAAAGTGGAGCAATGCATCACTTTCACCCCCGGCATGGTGGGAACAAAGATGCTGCAGGCGAGCCTGTCTCTGACCAACGTCAACTCCACCATCAGAGGCTTCAAGATGGTCTTTGTCAACAGAGCTTAGGTCCGTTTTTTTGTTTGGGCACAATGTTCACTCATGTGACGTCACAGTTTTGTGCCTCAGAAACATCTTATCTAGTTTGTAACAAACAAATCTCCCAGCTGAAGCCGACATGTCAAGATTCAGATTCCTGGTGCTTCATCTTGCTGCCATCCTTATTTCCTGTTGCTGTGTATATAATGCAAATGTTATTTATATTTATTTATTAATGTTTGAGCCATGACAATCGACCCTGCTACTTGGAAATCCACATCTTTACTTGAATTTTAAAAATCTGCAACACATGACTTTAAATGCAATATTGTGCTTTTTAAAAAAATAAGATAAAAATGAATGTGTTTAAATACACTGTGTGTCAAATGTTTGGTGCAGAGAGAATATCTATCAATGCTGATTTCTGTTATTGTAGTTCTTTTTATGCCCTGAAGAGGGAGACTTTTACTCAAAAAAGAAAAAAGTTCATTTAGGGTCACTGCCCGAAATGTTTCTTAAATCCTTTGACTCATTTATTTGTCGTATGTTTTATTTTTCTTTATATTGAGTGAATTCAAATAAAACTCAACTTGCCGTTCCCCCACAATACAATTAATTTATCTTTATTAATCTATTTTTCACTCTGTCAAAACAAATCGACAATAAAGCTTTATATACAGATAATAGCTAAGCTGACAGGCAGTGTAATCGGCACATGCACAACCATACCAGTTCATCTATATTACAAACAGGTTATTGAGAAATTAAACAAAGATGCAAAAGAGGAAATACAACATGAAAACATGTACAACCCAGAAAAGGAAGGATTCGAGCCTATGATACAGCATCTTCAAGACAACGGCAAAACATTTTTACAAGAGAAGAGTTTTGGTTTTTGAAGGGGATAGTTTTTCATGTAAAGCTCCCAAACGATATTAACCAATTGAACCAATAATAAATAGCTCACATTTTAATGATTAAACACAGACCATTTTCAATAGCCTCTAACTATGAGGAGAATGTTATTTGATGTTTATCTACCTGACATGAATAAAAAAACTCTAAAATAATAGTGAATGTAAAATCTGTCCCACGACTTAAAAATAGTGTTGGCTGAGTCACAACAAATATAAAAACATACAAACAGTTGAACTCCATTCTGAAGTTTTCATCCGTGCAGACACTCACTGTGTTTTCATTAAAAAGGATGTAAGAGTTAGTTTTCAGTGCATTCTTTGTTGCCATAAACTTGAGATGAACTGAATTATAAAAAAAACCTTTCCTGGGGTTGGTTATGACGCTTTGGTCCCTTTTTTTTTTTTTACACTTGTCTTTTGGTCCAGTTCTTTTGGCTTCATGATTTTGTGTCAGGAATAAACTGCAGCCTCGCTTCAAAATCCTCACAGCTCCTCTGGCTGTGAAACTGTCTGTCTGGGTGCTCACTCCAGATAGCATATACTGACTCTGAATCAGTCTCTGGGGGCACGTTCACCCCCCCGACTGCACTCAGGTAGCATTTCATGATTCGGATTAGAAAGGGTGGAGTGTGATAAATGGCGCCCTCTAGAGGTAGTCCAGCTCCAGTGCATGGCTCAGAGCTTCCAGATCGGCCCGACAGGACACTCTCCAGAACGGCATGTTCTTCTGAGAAAACCAAAATGAAATCAAACTTAAGTTCAGGTTTAATTGAGTTAGATTATACTTTCAGTAATCCTCCAGATGCTGTGCTGATGTGAAACACAGACTGTGGTCTGGAGTAGTTTGTGACAAAGTATACATGGATAATATGTCGTCAAGTCTAGAAAAAGATTTTAACATCTCATCTCACAACTCAGACACAAAAACGACAGAAATCTTCTTTCAAAGTGAACTGATGAGTTGTGGCTCATTTTTAGGCAGTAACACAAAAAAATATATATATAAAAGGGAGTTGTACCTTCTTGGCCACAGCCTCCTCTTCGGCTCCATCTCCGATCACCACGTACACTGCTCTCCGACCAAATCTCTGAGAGATGCGCTCGAAGCAGCTCTCTTTGCCTTCGACACGAGGGAAGAGCAGAGGTTGATGTGTTAAATGAAACAGCTGAACGGAGGTTGAGGCCTGTATTCTTTGTCACCTGGATTGTTCTCTCACCTGTTTTGGTGGCACTGTATATGTTCTCTATGGGGAAAGCTGAGCCCAGTCCGTACAGCAGCACCTTGGACAGAGCTGGGATGAGCTGGGTGGTCGTCACCAACACGTTCACACAGTTCGGCCTGAAACAGACACATTAATAATAGGGTTACGTTTAAGAGCAGTGGTGTAAAGTTTGTGCATTTACTCAAGCTTTACACTGTACTTTAATGTTGTGATGTTTTTGTACTGTGCTTTCACTTAATACCACTGTGTTTTTCTATTTCGCTGTGTTTAAGTGGGAGAATTTTTAATTTTTTAATTTTTAACTCTGCTATATTTACCTGACAACTATCGTCTAGCTTGCTTCTAAAATATGATACAGTTTCGATTAAATGACCCGACATCATTAAGTTGTTCAAATTACCTTCACATTAAACAGCGACAATATTTTATATTATTTTACATTCGCTTATTCGACAGTGACATGTTGTACTTCTGGCTGAGGCTAATTTGCGCTCCCTGTCCCTGGTCAGGCTTTTCTAATCACAAATCTAAAATAAAACATGCAGCTACTCAGATTTATTCGACTCTTAAAGGATATACAGATATGAATGGCTATAGATATAAAATTGAGCTATAAATCAAATGTAAATCACTATATCACAGCATAAACTGACCTGGAGTTGATGAGCGCCAGAGCTTTAAGTGCCTGAGTCAGCCACAGGTCAGTCAGGACCTCCATCTCTCTCCTCAGCTGGAGCCACTCCTCTCGCTTGGGGCTGCCCAGCAAACCTGAGAGACACAAGTCTGACCGTCAGGGATGATCCGAACCCCCCCCCCCTCACAGCTCCAGCACATAAAACGTCTTGTTCTCTGAGACAGTGGGACTTTCTGCAGTCCCTGGACGGACAAGTCTTACACTAAACCCTGCAGCCAAAACCTCAGACACATGGTTTCCAGCAGAGTTAGAGCAGCCAGATGTAATCAGCAGAGTCGGTTCATACTGAACAACAGCTGACTCATCATCCTGGTTGACAAACAAACATGTCTGGTTCTTCTCAGCGTTTCTTCACCACATCGTGATTCAGTTTGTTTAATAGGTCATACATGAGTAAATAAATATTTTTTTCATTTTTGGAGAGGGCAGGTGATTATCGTTATATCCTCGCTGTGTTTTGATCTTCAGCGATGGCTTTGTTAGTGAAATAGAGTAAAAAAATGCACTTCTGTCAAGAAGGCCTACGTTATGCATCAAAAACTAGTGAATCCCAGTCACAGAACTTTGGTTTGAATCCGCACTTTTTCAGTTTTGTCTGTTCTGGTGTATTATCTGGTCTTTTTTAACCCACGTGAGCCATCAGAGAAGTTGACATAGTCTAAACTTCTTTACATATCAACAATACAACAGCAATTCCTTTAAACTTTTGTATAAATAAAACGTCAGCTTACCACCAACATTATTCTTGTATGTGTTGTAGATCTCCTTGACTCTGCGGTATCGGAAAGCCAGCTTCCTCATCCAGTCCACCCCTCCGTGGACCCCTGACCCCAGGCACAGAGAGCCGGCCCCCGCTGGGCTCTGGAAGCCGTCCGACCCGAAGTTGTAAGTGCTGCAGGATCACAATGCAGGAAACAGCCAGGATGTAGATCATAAAGAAAAAACACACTCTGTATTTTTCCTGAGCATCTTATAATGGTGCTATCGTCAGTGTTTTAAAGGCCGCACTCCCAGAAGTGGTACAACTACATAAATTTTCATGCTCTAGGAATTGATTCAAACTATTCAGGCTATGAACAAGAAGGCGGTGGTTAAACCATTCATCAAATTTGGGGAGGCGTGCCAGTGCAACCGCAAAAAATGTCAGGGACAAGAAATGCTTTAAAATTGAATGTAGCAATGAATGAAGCTTTGTCAGTAAGAAATCATGAAGTATATACATCCAGCGTGGGTAAATAAAAAAAAAACTTTGAGATGAAAAAGGCCAAGTTCAGTAAAATAAACTTGAGAAAAGTGCTTTGGCAAAGTCTGGCACTTTCTCAGATCACTCCTAAAAGTGCTTCAACAAGTTTAACGCAATAAAATGTCTGGACATAGCGAGACAGTGGGAATTATAAACAGATATTCTGATGAGAAATGAAAGCGTTGGATAATCCTGCGACATATTATATGGCTGTGGATGTTGGGGAAATAAAAGACATGCACATGCTTGCATGCATGAACACACACAGACACACACACTCCTCATCTCATCTCTCTGTTTTTTTTCCCTCCTGCGCACTAAAGCCTAGAGGGCAAGTCTGGTTCACAAGCCACAGTAGAACCGTCAGAGTCGCTCAGCAGAGCTTTACACAGCAGGAGCTTTACCTCAGGTCCTGTCCGTTGTCATCTGAAGCCACGTCATCAATATGAACCTGGTCACATTCCTGGGAAATGAAAAGGAGAGCGGATATATCAGAAGATCCATTTCAGAGTTGAGCTCTGCACAGACAGGTCTCTCCTCTTTAGGGGAGCCTCTGAGAGTGATAGTAAAAATAAAAAAAGAAAAACTCAAATAAAAATCAAGAATGGAGGAAATAAGGTGTCGGGACCTGAGACAGGGAGGCGCCAGAGACACAGGACAGTCAACACGGTGGTGCAAAGACTGAAACCACGTGGTGAATTAAAGTTACACTACATTTTTTATAGTGCATCCTCTGAAGAAAGGCTCATTGTGTTTGACGAGCACCGTGGTGTGCACGCTGCTCTTCTCTGTCGGACATTAATATAATCAACCGAACCACAGGGATTAAAAACCACACTGGAGTTTAAACATGCGGCTGCAGCCAAAACACTTCAAGCAACACGCAGCTCAATCAAAAACTTGACAACGCTTATTAATATTGGAATCGTTGGACGAAACAAAAACAAGAAGCATAAAAAAAATCATCATAGCTGACAGAAAAAAAAGATCTCTTTTATTTCTGTGTCCCATGTTCTGCAGCTACAAGCTTCTAAAACCCACAACCCTCTGTCTTCACATGAACACACACACATCCTGGGACGTCTCCGTGTTGTCAGGCAGTGACCCGGGACAGACAGGATCTCCTATCACCTTTCAGTCTTTCTTTCCTGAGCCAGACAGAGACGCTACCTCATCTTC